AAGACGGTGACGATGTGATTTGGTGTTGGTGTTGGTCGTCTTCTGTAATTCGAACGCGACCCTGGTTAGTTTGGCCCGGCTGGACACGGTGGGAGAAGGATTATTTCATGACCGGTCCAGGGAGGAGGAATGCAATATGGTGTCATACCTTGGTCGTTTACGGCTGAAGTATCCAGCGTGATGGTAGGCGCCCGTGGCCGCCTCAGCGGAGAAGGATTCCGCGGCATGGCGATGCCTTGGACTGATGAGATGGGATTTGGTTGGTGTTTCTGCCTCGTCACCCAGAGTAGTGATCCTGGGGAGCAATGGAAGCTTGGAGGGCGATGGATGAATTTCAGGACAATGACAGTCCGCCTGCCTCGTTTTTGGGGGAGGAAGGAGTAATGATTGGCAGCTGCTTTTCTGCGATGGGCTGTGGTGAAAGGATAGTTGCAGAATAACTTGGGATGCGCAGGTTGTAGTGCAAACAAAGAAGGGGCGGTGATGTTACACACGGAGTATGTAAATGGACCCAAAGAAGAGGGAGCCAGTTGTTCAGCGAGTGGCAATTGAGTGTAGCACCTCTGCAGGCTGAATAGAAGTTGACGATTCGGTTTGGATTGGGAGGCGGTGTAGATTAGTGTCAAAAGGGAGGCAGGGAGAGAGAAAACAATGGATCGAGGTGAGGGAGCTTGTTGAGCTGAAGCTTGTTCGCTGCTGCTTGTTGGTGGCGGTTTGGTCGTTTACCTCCCGGTGAGGATTATTGGTGCCAGCAATGCGGATTGCGAGAAGGGACCTGGATGCCAGTTGATATGTCCAGACGTGGAACCTCAGGCGAGGGTGATCTGGAGAAGGCGGCCCGCTAGGTTTGATGGGGTCATGACCTCCAAGGAGCCATAGAAGAGGGCTGTGAAGCGTAGACTTTTCTCTCTTGGATCGTTGAGGTATCGATTCGGTACGTGTCTTTCGGCGAGTCTATCCGGATGGTGGGAGATCAAAGTTGGATGAAAGGAGGAGATAAGGGACGGATAGAAATGTGGGCTGTGGCAGGGCAGATTTGGGCAGAAAAGAATCAGTACTTGGAGTCACGATGCCAAGGGTGAGGAAAAGAGAGAGAATTAGGTAGTGACGTGGGTGTGAGAACGAGAGGAAGCGTCTCTGCGTGATGGTGGTGATGGATGATGGTCTGTCGGTTGTGGACTGACAACGGATCGCAATCAACAACGGGCCAAGCGCCCGCAACAACCGCCAGCTTCACCTGCGTCAAGCAAGTTACAATGGAATTGATGATGGCACAGGGTTGCACGCTCGGGACGAGAAACATGGGGGAGAAGAGAAGAAACAACACGCCGCTAGGTTCTGGACATCGTAGGTGCCTCACCAGCTGGGCTTGGCAAGTTCTAGGCCGCCGAGCCAACGGGTGAGGTACTTTGGGCTGTAGAGCATTCATCAGGACAGGAGACTTACACAGCCACCATTGTCGGTGATTCGACCAAAGGCCAAGGAAATCCCAAGATGCCAAGACGTCGCTCACGCCCAGTACGTAAACGTGCAGGCGAGTGGTCATCTACGTTAATTCGCGCTCTTTGCTGCTCAGTGCTCACTCACTCTCATTGAGAAGAGACCAACCACATCATAAGGGTAATCTGCAAAGTACGGAGTACAGTGGGTGACGGGTTATTTCATCGCCAAGACGGGGGGCAGCTCATTGGATATCGAAAGTGCTGTTCAAGCTGTACAGGGGGGACGCCAAGCTATGTCTTTGAATTGCGGTGGGCGGTGGAATTGCATTCAATCTATCAAATAAAAACATTCAATCAGGTTAGATGCGAGGACCTCGCTCTCCCTCTTTGGTCGTCCTCCTTTCGACTATCGATTATGGGCTATAACCTTAAGGTAGCTTACTTGGGTAAAATAACAGTATCAGTACTGAGTAGCACGTATGCGGATACCATACTTGACCTTCATCTCACTCACTTTCATCTCAGTGGTCACTTTCACTCTCACTCTCACTCTCACTTTCACTTTCACTTTCATTTTCGCTCATTCATGGCAAACTCGGGGCCCAATACATGTCCGTTGACCGAGGTGAAGCACCATCTATCGGACCATTTACCGCCCCAGTTACCACGGGCCTGGTGTTCGCTTCACCGGATGAAGAGCTTTGGCCACTTTGAGCCACAGAAACAGTGGACTGATCCATACGTCGCCTGAAGACCCGAATGAATCCAGCAAAGATTGGACGCCGCCGAGACATTTGTCTTTCTCCGTTCTCAAGTTTCTCTGTGACAACCGAGGAAGAAACAAGGAGGCCGCCGACCGCAAAATAGGGATGAGCCACAGTCCGGCCCTCTTGGCAGGAACCTAACAGTGGCCATCTTGATTCGGCAGCACTCCCGAGAAACACAGCGAAACGACAGAAAAGATGCTTAGGTTTCTGTCAACCGTCTGAGCCTTTGAGGCGAAAAGGAGCAACTATGAGGCGACATCTTCCATCCCAACTTTCATCATAGTAGCTTCTCCACGTTTTGTGTGGCCGTGCTCACAAGGTCAGATCGGGTACGAAAAGGCAATTTTGGTCTTTGCCATGCAGCGGTGCCCCAAACTCAACTCTCAATCGTGAGGGCATATGGGCTAATGGATGCATCTCATCATCATTGGGGCAACCATGACAGCCATCCCGCGTAGAGGGATTGCCATTGTGGCACCCACACCCCGGAAGAGTCCAGTCCTTCTACATACCCGGAGCCGGTGACAACCCGATTACAGATTATTACAGAACAGCCCGGAACAAGTATCCCGGCAGGCAGAGGGCCCCCCCTGTCAGGTACACCGTACCGCGAATGCGCTGTCACAGGCACGAACAGATAACTACCGTCTTGAGATGCGCTCACCCTTGGGCTGGTTTTTCTGGGCTCGGATGAGCAGAAAAGACTTGGTTGGCTCTTGGAGGATTTGAGAGGAGCAAGACCTGAGGACTGAGGACCGAGAACTGCACTGCCTCTCTTGGTCGTCTCACCCTCTGTCTTTTTCCACCTCTTCCGATTTGTCTCCCACAATTCCTTCAGTCATCAGTGACCACCGGCCGACTCAAGAAACAGATATACAGCAAGGGGCGGGGGATGGGGGATGTGGGAGACTGCCAAGACTTTAAACTGACATCATCTCAAATCACACAAGAACACACACACACTCACTCACTTCTCCTGCCACAGAGAGGGAAGAAAAAAACAAGGCTTCCCTAACCAAACCAGCCATGTGCCTCGATTGCTCGGGTGTGTGTCACTGTCACGGTTGTCTGATGGAACGGAAATTCCAGCGAATACCTCTGAGAGCTGGCACACCCACATTGAACAACACAACCAAGACCAACTCACACGTGCAACAACTTGAAGATCAAGAGAGTGAGTGAGGCGCAGCTGTTGCAGCAGAGAAACGCCAAGAGAACGGCCTAATTTGGTTTTGTTTTGATAGTCGGCCCCCAGCCAGTCACACCCACACCCGGGAAACGAAGCAAGAAAACTTTATTATCGAGCAACCTCTCCTCTTAGTGCAGTTCCTCCACGAGGAAAGCTCCGAAAGCACCTTTTCAATGCCAGGGGTTGCACTCCTTCCCCTCTGACGTCAGATTAGAACCTAGAAGACGGTACTGAAGCTTCCATTCGGAAACCTGCGCCGAAACGGCATCTCCCAGCCAGTTATCTCCGTTCGCTTTCCAAGCTTCCTTTGTAAATTATCGCAACTTCTTGACTTGGTTTCCCGTCCCATTCAAACGGTAGTTCCTCCCAATGGACAGTGCCACGCGCTACTTAAACCAAGTTTATGCGGATGTTAGGTTCGATGTGGCTGGATCATTAGGGTTCTTTTTCGTGGCGGTCTGGTCCCAACCTCACCACCTAAAAACGAGGTGAATTCAGGTTAGCCTAACTTTGACAGCCAAGCCCAATGGACCGACCGCCACTTTGTCGGCACAGCTGGCAGCATCCTTTTTTTTCTCTCATAGCAAAACACTGATCGGCCGCCAAAGGCATGCAAGGTGAGACACCGTGATAGGTGCACAAAATAACGCCCCATCGGCGCGCCAAGCGACGCGAAACCAGGACCGCCACCGCTTTGCTTCCAGCCGTCATGAAGAAAAATACCAACGGCAAAACAACACTGCCTCAAATACCAAGACTGCCGCAGAACAAAGATTCGCCCTCACGGCCCTCGCTTACTTGCTTTCTCTAAAATGTTAGCCGTGATGTCTTCGTACTACGAACACGTATCCATATCGACTAAGACTTGCAAAGCGCCGCCCCCGTTTCGCCCCTGAGTTGGTCTTGGCGCTGGCGCAGCAATTCGAATGACTGTGTGATTTCTCGTTTTCGCCTTTAAGGAGTCTACTCTGTATCATCTGTCGATGCGCGCGGAGATTGGCACAACGCCGGGCCATCCCGTTCCCTTCCATTGCGACTGACCATGCATGATGCCCCATGGCACGGGTAGAACTACATCCACTCCGGCCTCGACAGTGACATCCGGCACACGTCTCCGGTCGGGGTTCCACATTTACCGGGCTCATCGCCGGTGCCCCATCGGATGTCCCATTCACTACCTCCTTTCGAGAAGTAGATGAACGTCTTTCAAGCACCATACGGTCCAAAGCCACCTTTACTCAGCCAACGTTAACATCTTGTGTAAGATTGGATCATATGGTCGCTGACGACTGATCCTTTATGCAGGTTGCATTTAGGCAATATAGACGTGATCTCACCCGGAGCTTACTGAGAATTTCATATTACCAATCCATCTTAAATCTCGCCAGTTGACTTCAACTATCTCCTCATAACCTTAGCCTCTTATAGAGGCTAATGAGTCTTCATATGACGGTGGTTTTTCGGAATGCTGAAGTCGTGAGATGACCCAAGCCACGAAAACCGCGTACAATACGCATCGTCTAGACAGAAGCAAGGAGTAGTCATTCACGCAGCAAACCAAACCTACCCCCCTCCTTACTTCCGTCACGAGTGAAAAAAGCCATGCCAACATACGTAGTCACCGGCGCCAGAGCCGGCATCGGCTTGGAATACATCAACCAACTAAGCAAATCCCCCTCTAACACAGTCATCGCCCTCGTCCGCTCCACCGCCCCTTCCACAGACCTCTCGGCCCTCGAAGCCATCCAATCCTCCAGCATCGCCACGACGCACATTCTCGAATGCGACGTCTCCTCCGAGGCATCCATCGCCGCGCTCCCCGGCCGGCTGTCAGCAGCCCTGCAAGAGAGCCACGGGACGCCGGCTAAAGTGGACTTTCTCATCAACAACGCCGCGACGCTGCAATTTGCGCACCAGACGAGCTTGACGCTTGATAAGGCAGGGCTGGACGTGCACATAGAGACCAACGTCCTCGGCCCGGCGAGGATGGTGCAGGTCTTGCTACCCTTCCTGACAGCCGAGGGCGATAGCGAGAAGGACGGTGTGGATGCTGCTGGCGAGGGCGCGGAGAGGATCGCCGCGGTCGTCGCCAACATCACCTCCGGCGCGGGCAGCCTGAGCTGGACCAGCGACGGCCGCGTCGGGATGCTGGCGGGCTACTCCATCAGCAAGGCGGCGCTGAACATGCTGACGGTGCATCAAGCGCGGGAGCTAAGGGGCCAGGGGATCGTCGCGGTGGCTATCGATCCGGGTCATGTCAAGACTGATTCTGGTGGGCCTGGGGCGACGGTTGAGGTGGAGGACAGTGCGGGGGGTATATTGGATCTGCTAGCTGGGCTCAAGAGCGCTGATGGCGGGAAGTTCTTTTTGTATAATGGGACGTCTGTCCCGTGGTAGGCCTTTTGTGATCTTTGCACAGGAAGCTGGAGAATGGCTTCTCCTGAGACTTGACCTGCTATCTCATTTTCAGTGATTTCACTATTACATCCTACTCTGGATATATGAGCAACCGAGAAGTTTGTGGAAGGTTTAAGTGGCATTCTCGGTCTGGATCTATAACATATTTACTGTGATTCTCGAGAGGGATGGTCATCGACCTGGCTATTTCTACATGGTAATGGAGAATACTATGTTTTATCTTCAATCTGCCTTTTGGAGAAAATGGCCTCAGATTTTTGGAAGACAATAGGCCTGTTTACTCCACTCGAGATTTATAGAGAAAGTCATTCAGAGACGTGCTATCGAAATTTCAATCATGCGTCCTAAAAGCTTAATATCTTGAATTCTTACTGACTCGTTCCTTAAGACTAACGGTTACCACTTCAAAATTCAGCAGATTTATTGCACCTTCCCTTATAATAAAAAATAGATACGTTATGGAAATTGTGCTAGAGAAACCGGGACCTACAGTACAATTCGTTAATCGTCCCTCTATTCTAGTTATTAAATTCTTCTCGTATTCTTTATAAGCTTCGTTTATATGATTTAAAGTAATTATTCTAGGATAGACAATATTTAAGGATAAGATAAAAGAGAACCACTAGACAGATTTCGATTATATAAACTTCACTCGGGACATCTAATTCCATTCATATCATATATCAAAAGCCAATTTGAAATACGTAGGGCCCTCTACCGTCCTCGAACGCAAGATACTGAGAAAAAGTTGAGTAGGTAAGCAGGGAGGAAGGAAACGTCCCTGATTCGTTTCCTTCCACCACGACCCGAATACACACTTGAATACACACCCGAATACACACCCGGATACACCACAACCGAAACCCATATAGACCCCCTCAACTCCATTCCCGTCACCAGCCAGCAGGCGCCCCCTTAGGGGTCAGGTCAAAACTGGCTGGGTGGTGGAGTGGTTGAAGTCCACGAATAGCCTAGTCGGTGAAGGCTTTGAGAGTTCCCGTGTTCGAGTCCCAGCATGTGCACCCAGAGATGTAGCCCCCATTCGCCACCGGGGGGGTGAACTCTTTTGTAGTTTTGATATCTCTTTTCTTTTGAACCCTCGGTATATAGCAACTCGTACAACCACTCGCACAATTTCCCCAGTACTGCTTTCCCACCGCGCAAATGCCCATCGTGCCTTCCTCGGCAAGGCCATGATGAATAGGAGTTAAGAAGGAGAGAAGACGAAGCCACCCGGTTGGATACGCAGAATCTAGACACATACGTCAGTATTGTGTGACACCATCTATGCCCGCGTGCCTCTCTTCCTTACAAGTCACATCACAAATTGTTAAATGTTAAGGACCATTGAATTAACTGGCTTAGCCACACTTGGGCTGCTTGGTAACATTATCATACGAAAGTAGACGCTAAGGGCTACTCAGAGTATCCTACACACTTCTTCTCTAAAGGGGGCCGTTTCTAGGCCCCCGACATACAACTCGCAAAGAAAATAACCCTCCAATCAACAAAGCTTGCGTGCGATGCGCGGCAGCTTCTAGTTCCTCGTGCCCACGCGTCGTCTCCTTGTTGAAGAGGTTATATCTGCGTCGCCCGCCAACTCATCAACGTCGTCTTCCGCCATTGGTGTATCTTCACCTGTAGCGACGCTAGCCGGCCTCGTGTTCCCAGAGTTCGAGGGAGCTTGACCTGTGCGCTCCTTCTCCGCGTTACGGAGCTCTCCTATAATCTTCTCGACCTCCATAGACATCATCCTCGTAGAACGCACCACGGCGTCCTCGTCAACCTCATACCCCACTACGTCAGCCCCATCCGCAGCACTGCCGCCTTTCATGAAAGCCGGACCGGGCCCGCGACTCGGGTCCAGATTGTACATGATGGCATTCGAGAACATATGAACAAGCTCTCGTTCGAGCTGAGCGCTGTTGATGATGCTCTTTGGTGGCACCAGATCGTCACTGACTGGCAGAAGAACAGACCCTGTGCCTGGATCACCGTCTGGCAAGGCCTTGGCGGCCTCAGTAGCTGCTCTGTTGCCATGTGTGATGGCTGCACGAATAGACTTGATGTCTTGCGGCTGAATGATCAGAGTCTTGTAACCAGGGGCGTCTCGCTCTCGAATGGGATTCGCAAATTGGTTTGCAAACCTGTGAGCACCAATCTGATCAAGCGCAGCAGCACTTACACGACCAAACTGGCGTGTCCATAGCACGTGAGTCGGGGCTGTTGGCGGTGCGAGTGGCTCGGTTGGAGTATCCTGACGTTTGCGCTTATGAGCAAGCCGGGATGACACACTACTAGGTGTAATCATATTGCGCCGACTTGGCACGCTTTCGTCAGCAGTTGTATCGCCCGTGTCATCTTGCGGTTTCGGTGTCGCTCTAGGAGTAACTCGAGGAGTGGCGTTCTCGTCCTTAATTCTGGGCGCCAGCTCATGGTGATCCATTGATAACTCGTCAGTTTGTGACGTGACTGACTGACTTCGTCGCGTACCCGCAACCGAAGGTGTGCTGTCGGCACGGACCTTGTGCGCGCTGCGTGGGGGTCGGCCTCGGCCTCTAGGGCCGGGAGTCTTGGTCTCTGACTTCGGCACTGGAATGGGTACGGGTGTCGGCTTGGGACTGGGCTTTCGCGGTGCTTGTGTAGGTGTAGGCGCAGGCGGCAACGGCGCAACTTGCTGCACAGGGCTCAGTGGTTCAAAGGCGGGACTAGCAACCTCCTTGTCTGATGCACCCGGCCGAGGAGTCGAAGGCGTAGAAGTCACGGTCCACTTAGTTCCGGAGCCAGTAAGAAGGAAGCTGGGAGGCGCTGTGATAGGCGTCTGTGGCAGTGGGATAGGGGTGTTCGCGGCCCGTTGTGCCGGAGGTGCAGCAGCAGCAGCAGCAACTTGCGAAACCAGGTGAGGAGGAATAGCAGGCCGGGGTTGTTGCTTGTTGAAGGGAGGGCTCACGCGCCTTTGAGCATCATTTGGCTTAGCATTCGGCTGGGATGGCGTAGGGGCTGGGGCCGGAGCTGGCGTAGGGCTGAATTGTTGCTGTGCATAGGGGGAAGGGTGAGGTTGCTGCCATCTTGGAGGAACGACCGTCTGCCCTGAAGCACCGGCGGATGGGGTAGGTGATGCTGCAGCAATAGGTCGTGGCTGCTGAACGGTATGTGGCCGCGCAGAAGGCGTAACCGACGGGCCTGGTGGGCGGCCTCTGCGCGGTAGGTTCCCAGAGCTCTCTGAGGGCTCCTTGGTCGGCGTTGAGTGGGCTGGAGCCACCAACTGTCCCTTTGGCTGAGGCTGAGGCTGAGGTGTCGGGGGTTGGTGATGTTTTTGAGGCTGAGGCTGATTCTGGTTTTTGACTGGTGTCTGAGTCTGGGGTTGAATATGAACGTGAGCCTGAGCCTGAGCCTGACCTTGAGCCTGAGCCTGAGCCTGAGCCTGACCTTGAGCCTGCGTGTGAGCTTGAGCCTGAGCCTGCGGGTGAGATTGGGCCTGCCCTTGGGGCTGAGGGTGACCTTGGGGTTGAGGGGCTACCAGCACCGGCTGGGGTTGCTGCGAGTATCTCTGTGCCTGATTTGCTTGCATTGGAACATGAGGAGGCTGCGGAGGACCATGGTATTGCCCTGTTGGTTGAGGATACCATTGAGCAGGATGATGTGCCTGATTCGGGGTAGAAGGTGCAGGAGGTGTTGGGGTTTGAGCTGGCATAGGGCGGCCCTGTGGTTGAAGTGCCGGTGCCGCAGGCTGATATGGCTTTTCCCACTTCAGAGTGCCCGGAGTCGAGGGTTGAGCGGGCGTCCCTGGCGTTGGAATCCGAGTTTTGGGTATGTTTTCCGGCCGTGGTGATATTGCCGGCAGAGGGACCGGCGATGTCGACTGACCGGGCCGAACTGGCGGGTGCCCAGCACCAGCAGGGGGCTGCAAGACCTGACCGGCACTATTGGGAGGCTTCAGATTTTGATGCTGCTTGGCATCTGGCCCGCTAGCGGGTGCCGTAACCGATGCCCCGGCAGCAGACACAGCTTGCGCCGGAGGCACCGTAGGTGATTGCTGAAACGCGCCTGCCGGCGGAGCTACATCTCGTCTTGCTGGCGCAGGCTGTAGGGCCGGTGGTGGAGCTGGCGCAACGGTCGTTGGTGGCCGTGGGAGCGCTTGAGGCTGCAGTGGTACATGTCTCGGAATCGGTACTGGAGTCTGCGTCGGAACGGAGCCTTGTCCGTTCGCAGGCCTGATCGGTCGCGGAGTCTCAACGGGAGGCGTTGGGGTCGATCGCTTGGCTTGATTTTGAGATGCGACCTGGCCGGGCGTGGAATTCAAAGAGGGGACCGGTACAGGTGTCGGGACAGGCTTTGGCGCTGAAGGCCCATTTGGTGCGACTGGACGGGGTGTGTTCGCCTTGGCTCGATCGATCGCCTCTTGCGTTTCAAGAATCTTGATATCTCTGGCGAGCGTCTCGATGCGCCGTTCATCTTCCTTGATGTCCCTGACGATATTTTCCTTATATCTTGCATAGAGTCGATCCACCAACGCGGGGAACCTATGTGACTGCTCCTTGACCTCTTTAAGCGTAGGTAGTGGTGGATGACTGAGCTTGCGTTTCTTCAATGTTGGCGACGCGCCATCGGCCTTATCGGTCGTCGCATTCTCGATCCTCAACTCTTCCTGCAGCAGGTGCAGGAAGAGTTGTCGAAGCGCATCCGGGCTCAGTCGTTTAGCATCGTATGTCTTGTCATCTTTGATCAACGAGTTGTTGACGAGAAGATCCGAGACCTTGACGAAGGCAGTGGCTTCGACGCCGTGCTTAAGGATGGCTTGGAACAGAAACAAGGACTCGAGAGGAGTGTAGGCGGCCGGATTATTCATACCCCAAAGCCCACCTCGCCAGTGATCGAGGGAGCCGTCGCGTCTCGGGAGAAGGTGGATGGGCGCCAGGGTCTGCATCTCAGACGTTAGACAAGTGTCATCTTATCAAGACGTCGCAAGGCTGAGAGTCGCGCGTCGCGGGACGTACTGACAGCCTCTATGAGGAGCTCTTGGTGGGCCGAGGCATCTACTTGCACGCGTTCAGGGGTAGGAAGCGGTGGCTATCGGGAGCCACTCGTCGTCGCGCGCAATAGTCGTGTCGTATGAATGGTGTTTTTTCGTCTGCTCGCCGATTTCGGTCACGTGATGCAAGATGTTTGGAGGTGGAATTTTTGCTAGTATTGCTTGCAGGCGGGCCGCTGGGCGGTCGATGAAATTTTTTGTTGGTCGACTGGCAAGGTTTGGAGAGAAGATGGGGAATTGAGAACGGAATCTGGAGTACGCGGCGGGCGGGACGAACCAAGGACGCAGTGCCGCAGTGCAGGACAGCGTATCAGCTTGGAGGCAGGCGAGGCTGAGGTTTTGGGTCGTATCACGTGGTTTTGGTGTACCTCCGGGGATCATGCTTGGCCGCAGCTTTAGTCAAGCATCCAATGACAATGGTACCTGTCCGTCAAGGTTCCATGCTCTCAGCGACGTGCAGCCAGTCCGATGCAGATAAGAATGAGGCGCCAAGGCATCAGTGAAAGGCAGGGGGAAGGTGCACAGGGAGAGAAGACCGGGGCTGCTTGCGGCCCGCCGGCGCTTCTGTTAGCCTCAGGTCGTGTTAGCCAGAAAACGGAGACCGGTCCAGGAAACTGCAGGCTCGAAGCCGGACTTGAAGAAAGCGTGGCAATTGGCAACTTGCAAGCACGGCGTCGTCTTGTCGGTGGTGAGGCGGGCAGGCTGCAGGAGTCAATGTGCCTATCCCCTGTTTCCTCGTTTCCTTAGTCAGACCGATCGGTCCCGTTGATTTTTTTCTCCTTCACGGTTCCCCATGTCAAAATAGGAGAAAGCTGAGCTGGTAGAGAAGCAATCCACATGGAAGCATTCCGTCCAATCGTCTCCATCAATCCCTCTTCCCGGTCTCCCGGTCTCCCGGCCTCCCGTTATTGGGGCCCCGAAGCTTGCGGAATCGTATCCTAGCCCGAATGTTCTCCTCGTCGAAGACTTTGGTACCGCCGGCTCCATCTGGGAAACATTCTCAGCTATGCGGCGTATCTGATGGTCCAAGTGAAAGAAGGCCTTGCAGCATTCAGGTTGCGCGCAAACGTCTCAGTGTAACAGAGCTGGCAGCTTCCCAGACCGGCCTCGCCGCCCTGAGTTTGAGATGCTGCCGGTACGAGTAAGGACGCTGTGACGTCTGTTCGAAGATACTTGAAGTTCGGTACTTTCTTCGAGATGACAACATCGCCTCTCAGCCACCATCCGGGCTTGTTGCATGTGTCCAGCCATTGTCCATTCTCGGCCGGCCAGTTTAGCGCTCCAGCTGAACTAACAAGAGGCAATTGCTTCAGGTACGCAGTCGAGACGCAGGGCATGCTGATAAAAGGAGAACTATATCAACTATCAATTGCACACAAGGGCCAAAGAGGCGAAAACGCATGCCTCTCTCCCTTATCAAGGATGGCGAAAATTTATATTGGCTGTCGTGGGCCGTATCCATAGATCTGCCCCGTCATTTCCAAACGGCGCTTCTGTCGAGCCTGTACGAATCGAATCAAATGTAAACAAAGCTCTTCTCAGAACCCTGACCCGAGAGCCGCTTGCCCAGCCTTGGGCATGTGAGTGTCCCATTTGCGGTCCAGGACTGCTCAGTACCGATGCTACTGTACACGAGCATGTCACTCTCTCTGCCCAGTCTGCCGATAGGGTACGCGTAAGAAAAGTTTGAGAAGAGGATGCGCACTGGGAGACCTGCCAGATTCGCTGAATTGACCCGAAGCAAGCGAAGGCCTTGACTCGGCCGGGCCAGGCATGCCCCTGGATTCTGGAGCCAGTGAATTGCGTCTCTTTCTTTTTTTAAGCTCGGCTGTCTGGGACGGTGGATGCAGGTCGATTGGCGGATTGCGAATTGCGAATGAGCATTAGTGGCGGCGGCTCAAAGGAGCTGACAAGCACACAAGCAAGAGACCCCCCGAGCTTACGCTGTATGTATGTGGACAGTAGAGGTGCCCGGCCCAGTTAACCAAGCTGGGCGGCTTGGCACCGGGACATGGAGGCAATGCTCGGGATGAAGGGGGATTTTGATGCCACGGGGCCGGATGAGATATCCATCGGTAATGTCTGGTTGCCATAGCAGGCTGAAGATGGCTTCTAGGCCTCAGGTTCCCGGGCTGGCAGCAGAAGCAGCGAGGATACCACTTGGTAGTGATGCTTTACCATACCATGGCCATATCGCGGATGCTGATGACGATGTTTCTGGAACAAGAAACATGGGATAACTTGAGTAGCCTCTAGATGAACAACGAGGCTTGGAATGAAATCTCATTAGAACAAGGGCCAGGCCGTCCAGCCCGTATGCTCTTCCGCACCCTTTGCCTAGCCCAGTCGGGCACCTTGATGCAATCGACTCTGCCGATGTGGTGCTAGACACTCGTATGCATGCCCCTATTGTTTGCAATACCATAGCCAATATTGGGAATATCGCAATGGGATCTCGAGTCTGGAGCTTTGGCTTTCAGTGACAGACTCTCCCCAGAGTTCCTGGCTAGTGAGCACTAACGACCTGAAGTCTGGCGGGCGATGCTGCCGTCCAGCTTCCCGACGACAAGCGTAGGCAAGAAACATTGGCCGCGGAGTCCCCGTGCAAATCTCGGGGTGAACCGGTATCTCAATTCCATGGCAAACTAGCGCTTCGGCCTGAGGCCACTAGATTTGGCCTGAGTTGCCGGGCCAAAGAAAAACTTCGCCTTTGCTGCTGGCCTGCACCTTCCCACAGTGAAGTTTGGGGTTGGAGCAGCGGAAGGGGGCGACTCCACCCGCGCCTGCCCAGTGCCCACCCATGGAAGGGAAAGAGGACACCTGCACCAGAGCCACCAAGTGCACTTTCCCTACCAAGTCTGGAGGGCCAGCAAAGAGAAGGAGAAGGAGGGACCCGCTCTTGTCCACTTCTCACGCACCCTGAGCCCGGCCTGGGGTGGTCGGTGCTCCTTTCTTAGCGCGGCCCGGAAAGATTCGCTCAAAAGCTGTTCCTTCTTCGGCCACCCTGCAGGAATTTTTTTTTCCCTCCCTCAAACCTGCTGCCGTCGGAGCACTTAAATTCTCTCGACTCGCTCTTCCGTCTTCTCATCCCCTTCTACTCCTCCGTCCATCTCCGCTCATTCTTTTCTCTGAGGTTGATCTTTTGAGAAGAAACCCACAGCCAAGATGTCTGTTCCTGTCGAAAAGCAGAAGGTCCTGGGCATGCCGGTAAGCTACTACTCATTCTTCCCTTCATTGTTATCCGAGGCTGCGGGAAAAAATGCACCTCACCGGCGACGTCGCTTCCTTCCATCATCGGTCTACCATCAATGGCCATAGCATCCAGCTATGGATTCCATCGAGACATTGCGAGTCTCAATCTGATGGACAGGATTTGACGCGACAATGGTTTGCTGTACAGCTTATCGTCGCTGATGGAACGAACAACGTCGCTGGAGCTGGTCTACCTTGACCTGCCTTCGGATATCTATCAATTTCAGGATGAATCAATTTGCTAACTCCAATCTCACAGCCCTTCGTGGCCGACTTCCTTAGTACGTTGCACAGCCCATTTCGATATCGGCACTTGTCATCGATCAGTTTTCCGACCTCGGCGAGCTGATCCCGGTACCGCAATAACAACAATGAACAATCACTAACAGTTTCCTACAGTGGGAGGTGTCTCCGCCGCTGTCTCCAAGACTGCCGCCGCTCCCATTGAGCGTATCAAGCTTCTCATCCAGAACCAGGTTAGTAAACATGGCTGCTCAATCAATCTGGACAGCTAGCCGGCCAAGGTCGGACCGGGTCACCCCGGTCGAAAAAGTTATCCAAGATGACACGTGACCTTGGCCATCTTCGCTGCTAGTATATTGTCAATCGGACCGCATCTAACAGCCTCCCAGGATGAGATGCTTAAGCAGGGTCGTCTTGACCGCAAGTACGACGGTATCGCCGACTGCTTCCGCCGTACCGCCGCCGATGAGGGTGTCATGTCTCTGTGGCGTGGTAACACTGCCAACGTCATCCGTTACTTCCCTACCCAGGCCCTGAACTTCGCTTTCCGCGACAAGTTCAAGCAGATGTTCGGCTTCAAGAAGGAGCGTGACGGATACGCCTGGTGGATGGCTGGTAACCTGGCCTCCGGTGGTGCTGCCGGTGCCACTTCCCTGCTCTTCGTCTACTCCCTCGACTACGCCCGTACCCGTCTTGCCAACGACGCCAAGTCCGCCAAGAAGGGTGGTGAGCGCCAGTTCAACGGTCTCGTTGACGTCTACCGCAAGACCCTCGCCTCTGACGGTATTGCCGGTCTCTACCGTGGTTTCATGCCCTCCGTTGCTGGTATCGTCGTCTACCGTGGTCTGTACTTCGGCATGTACGATTCCATCAAGCCCGTCGTCCTTACCGGTAACCTCGCCAACAACTTCCTTGCCTCTTTCGCCCTTGGATGGCTCGTCACCACCGGTGCCGGTATCGCCTCTTACCCCCTTGACACCATTCGTCGTCGCATGATGATGACCTCTGGTGAGGCCGTCAAGTACAAGTCTTCTTTCGACGCTGGCAAGCAGATCATCGCCAAGGAGGGTGTTAAGTCTCTCTTCAAGGGTGCCGGTGCCAACATTCTTCGTGGTGTTGCCGGTGCTGGTGTCCTGTCCATTTACGACCAGCTCCAGGTTCTGCTCTTCGGCAAGGCCTTCAAGGGTGGCTCTGGCTAAATGCCTTTGACACTTCTTCGTGTATAAACTCTTCACTGGTGGCGGGTTGGGCAGTTGGCGAATACCCGGGCTGTGGGGATTCGTTACTGGTTAGGATCAGATGAGGAATCGGTTGACAAAATGGGGAAGATGGATGTTGCGGAGGGGCTTTGGATGCAGGCACCACAAGACGTGGCACGCCTGGATCGGCCAGTCCTTCGTGGTTTAGACTGGCATCGGCAAGGCGTTCTCTTACATGACCTGAAGAGCTTTGCTTGCTACCTAATCCACTGTAATTTGTACACTAAAGCAATTCTCGATTGCACTCGTTCACGCAACACCTGTCCTCGCTGGACTTTACCGGCTTCTGGTCGATCCTGGGGTGGATTTTCCTTGGTATTGCATGACGATAGACTTCCGCGGTACAATAGGAAGATTTCTTTGATTCTACGAATGATTTCCCATTGACTTTTGTGACATCGTACCAGTAATTCGATTCAAATCAATGATTATGATAATACTGCCTGGTTGTTCACGGTGCCCTGATTGGCCAGTGGAGCTTTTGTCGCTAGTCCGCCCAGACGCGCCTGCACTCCGCAGTGACAGTGACAGTCGCGTCCCGCTCCAAGCTCTAAATATTCCCCCACGTGCTCCCCGCCCTGATCGCCTGATTCCCAGGTCAGATCGAATCTCGCCGTTCAGCAGATGCACCTCTGACATCTGACACCCTGCGTTTACTTGGAGAAGTGGGCTATCACGCCGTCGACACGTGGAATCTCTGTTGCTGTATTCGACACACGCAGTACTACTGATCTGACGCCACCACCTCGGTTTAGCGACTATTTGCTACCTCGATGCGAGCATACCACCAGTCCTGAAGCAACACCCAGCAGCCGAACAGATCAAGGACCAATATGCCCAGACAAGCAGCAGAACCAGCGAAGCGCGGCCGCCCTGGTCAAACCCAGCAGCCAGCCGTGGGCGCCAAGCGCAAGGCTACGCAGCAGCCGGCACGTAAGAAGTCGGGACCTTTCGAACTCTCCGACAGCGACGCACCAGCATCGCGGGGCCGGCGAGAAGCCCCCAACGATGCAGAGGACGAAGACGAAGTAGAAGAAGAGGAGGAACAAGACGAAGAGGCTGGGGACGAAGGTCCAGACAATACTATACCTCCCGAGCTGCTGACGCGGCTGCTGCACGAGTTCTTTGAAAAGGACGACACGAGGCTCAGCAAGGACGCGAATTTAGCGGCGGGAAAGTATATGGATATCTTTGTGAGAGAGGCGATCGCGCGGTGTGTGCATGAGAGGCCTGGTGGCTTTCTTGAGGTTAGTGGCTCTTGGATTTCTTGTGTTGCTGTTTGTAGAGGGAACGTTGACTGACTGGGTGATGATAGGTTGAGGATTTGGAAAAGATTGCACCTCAGCTACTCATGGACTTCTAGCCTGAGAGTCAAAGCTATAGACACGACGACATGATGAGCGATACCCCTCTCTCACACTACACAACAGCCTTCGAAGGACGAGAAATGTTGGTCAGTCGGGCTTGAAAGACTGTTGGCCTCAGCTCTTGACTGGAAGATAACTTGCGGCGACGAAGCTCTCAGCTCGACACTACCTCATATGTTTCCCTCGATAAAGAACGCTGCCGCTCTGGATATCTCGAGGTGCTTGTCGACCACAAAGTTGACCATAAGCGAAGGGTCAGATCAGCATGACCCAAACATGTCATGGCTCGGAAATGAAGTGTGGAGATCGGTGTCATTGTCGACCGAATCCCATAGCATTGTTGTCGGATCTGCACAACACAACGTCGTAATCTTCGTTTCTTCATCAGCCTTGCGGCGGTTATGTCCGTGGAGAAGATGCGAAGAGGTCTTTCCCACTGGTTTCTGCAAAGCCGCGAGAGGTTGATACAGTCTGTCGGGAAGGCAACGCTTTTGCTCCGGTCGATAAAGTGGAGCTCAGCCCACGCTGCGATGATCAGACATGTGTTTGCTACAATGCAAAGGGAGACTAGGAAACACAGTCATTCTGACACCAGGCGCATCTGTCCTTGCCTGACGCATTAACAGAATAATGAGTGTCTGGACCGGCCTGCTTGTGCGCGGCGGAACTATCATGTGTTACTACCGCAGCTCGGTCGATCAAGGGAAAGCGGATAAAAATGCCGAAAAAAACCGGGAAAGCTATCACAGCGGTAAAACCAAGCACGAACGGTAGTCAACTGCCATTCGAAATTCTTTGTTGCCTCAACGTTGTAACTGGGGCGAGGTTCAGACGAAACAACAGGCTAGACGCCAGAGATGTCAAAGGCCCTGGAGTGGGATGGTCTGTCCAGGGGCGAGTGGAAGGGGGGTATGCTACTCAGACGAACAGAAATGGAAGAAAAGTCTGAGAGTAATCGCTTCTCTAACATGGTCTCTCTTACCCGTCGTGCCTGACCATCGGCTAAAATTGCACCATTTCGTTGTTCGAGGATGAGGCTCTTTATGTCTGGTGGGGAGGGGGGGGGGGGGCCTTCGGACGAAACGCTACGCTGACACACAGTGGACCTGAGGCCATTGTTCGTTCGACTCTGGAATCTGGAACCTGGAACCTCTGTTCTCTCTTTCCCTGGGGTTGAAGTCTCCTCCTAAACAAATGTCCAAGAGACAGGTGTTTCTAAAGAACGGCGTGACAGCTGGAGAGCCGCATTCTTACGATCTGAGGCAACTGGTCTGGGGTTGAAACTAGTTGCATGAGGCGGGCCGCTGATCTGCTTTCGACTTTATGAAAACCAATGATGTCTCGTCTTTCACGAAGGGTCTTGAACTGGACGGTCATGGAACGTGGCTTGTGGCTAATACAGTTGCCTTTCCAGTCAATGAAGCTGACTCTAACCTCAAGGACAAGTATCAGAGTACCTGGACTTGATAGTCAGTAGTCAATCATTGTGGGTAGTCAGGCGCATATATCCTATTTATAAAAAGTAAAATAAAAAAAGGTGTATCGATACGGGCGCTCAAATTCGTCAGCAACTATTATTTGATGTTCACTTCGTGACGACTCTAGTCTTAATGTTCGTATGATGTTAACGCTCTTGGACACATGTCTTGGCCTTGTGTTGTAAAAGCCAAACCCGAGTTGTCACAACCCTCGAGTTGAAGCACGATAAATATGAGATGGAGAGGTAAGAGTTGTTCTTGGGTTCTGTTCCGCTTCCACTCAAAAAACAAAGCCGCTGGCTACCCGCTCGACGTATGAAGGCGCCATTTGACCCGACGACTTGTTGTGTGTTGGGAAATCGCGCGTGACCTTAGTTTCCTGGTTTAGTTGATACCAAAAGCACTGGCTCATACAGTTTAACGGCGCTGATCGCCAAGACTGGCTTCTCAATGAGATTCTCAAGACATGCCGACTTGGGGTTGTTCGATCAGTTGCCAAGTGGCCGGAGACTCGGGTGAAGAGTCTCAGAAGACTTAGTCTCAGAAGAATTGACAACTTTTCTCCGGTCCTTGGCAGAACCAAAGCGAATAGTATCTTGGGGAGGAAAAAAAAAAAAGAAAGTCCCCGCCTTCGCGATCGGATCTGTCCTTCCTGATACCTTCTTTTCCACTAGGATGTAGCCTGTAGGTGTAAGGGCAAAAAGGCTATACCGTCCATTGTGAATGCGAGCAAATGTTCGGAGAAGGCGAGTCGGACTCTGGTGGGAGGGTCGTGCGTGTTGAAGAAAGGTTTGGCCCAATCTTCCTTCTTTGCCATCAATCACGCAGACTCGGTGCCTTTTTTTTTCAACCTTGTCTCGCGAAACATGAGTAGTTGAAAATTCTTGGCGATGGGTGCTTGACACAGGTTAGCCCTGGACTAATTGTGAAAAAAGTCTGTTTGTTTGTCTGGGCTGGCCTTGCTTGGCCTGTCGAGGTGTGTGTGAGGGATGAGAGAGAATGTGGGAGGGAAGAGGAGACGACCGTTGACAGTCTGGTACTGGTATTAGATCTAGGGTAGGAGCGGCGGCGGTGCATTGGAAAGGAGAGTTTTTCTTTTTCTGGGAGACGGGGGAAAGATGGGATGACGCCAGAAGAGAGAGAGAGAGAGAGACTAGGGGAGAGAAAAAAGATCAGTTCAAACACTGGTTATGGTTTCTGAATAGAGCGAATATAACCTGTCACTCCATCAATGGGTTGAACTCTCGACAATAACGAACGAAGCGGACTCTGACTTTTTCTGCCCCCAAAAGCCATTGACTATTATTAGACATCTGTGAACTCGCGAGAGCGGATTGTGAGAGTGAGATGAGTGTAGAGGGGAGAGCCGTACGAAGTAGAGTGTCATTGAGTTGGGGGCTGATGATTTTTCGATTTCACCATTGATCGATACCAGGGCCAGGAAGTGTTTCGTTTCTTCTAGCTCGAGACGGTTGAGTAGTCACCCCGACTGGTTACGTCAACTTGTCAAGGGAGGGAATCGTCACAGTCGTCTAGACGACGAAACGTGCTATCCGGCTAGACGGTGGGCGAAAGAGAGACCCTTGTGAGGTATATCAGAAGGGTGGCTATAGGGTCCTGGGGACCGATGGCCTCCAGGAGAGGCCATGTCTTTCCGTGAGGCTTCCCCTGGAATCTTTTTGATGGCCAGGCTTTGAGTTTCGAAGCCAGAGGGCACATCATGGCAGGACGCGACTGAATGATCTCCGCGGATAGGTGAAATAGCGGATGGTGAGAGGCCGTTGACTGGGGTCTGGGAGGGCACGTGGGGGGTAGCAATGAAGAAGCAAAGATTATGCAGATGAAGATCCCAGGAAAGCCATGTTCTTCCTAGTTACCGCGAACCGCGAACTGCGAACCGCGGGCTGCGATGAGTAAGGCCAGGTAAAAATTGCAAGTCAGGTGCGAGCCTGAGAGTCACGAGATAGTCAAGACTCAAAAGATCGGAGAAGCCGTTATGGGCGTGGCAAAGGTAGGGAGGGGCATGAAGACGTGCTCGATTTGGGAATGAAGGAAATGCGGTATTCGATGTGTATGTAGGCATGTGTGTGGTCAG